GTCCCAAGGCTGCCAATACTTACTTCCCCGCCCAATTGTGTCACGGTCGCAGTGCATCAATTTGTGCAATATGGCGGGTATGGCTTCGGTTTGTTCAAGCTTGTGTTAGGGGTACAAGTGCAATCGTGGGAGCTTGTCATCGCGTCAAGTTATAACGCAGGCACTGTTCAACCCGAGTTACACAACGATACTGTGCGTACGTGAGCAACAACTACATCGAATGCTCTGAGAGAAGAAGACAGATGCCATGCACCGGTATGATCGCATATGCCAGCATATACTCAGTCTTTTGCTGACGGACAGGGCCTCCCTCAAGCATGACTGCAAGAAGGGTTGTGGCGCATCATAACCTGGATAAAATGAAGCCTAGAATTGGCTGTATGCCCCGGCAGGGTGAACCTTTGATCAATGGATGAGGGGATGGGTTATCATTGACCTAATACGACCCTTCACTCAAGGGGTAAACCGGGTACCGACCCCAGCACCACCGCATTGGGTCTGGCCAAATGGAATCATGTTCCTGTCCTTCCTCAAATTTGCCATCCAGCGCTACACTGTCCACGGGTATCAATCATTGTGAGAGATAAAAAGTACGTGAGTGTGTCTTCAATTGAATCAATTCATTCTGAAAGTATAACATCTTCCTAAAGCCTTGTTGATTAGGACGTTTTTCGTATCGTTTTACTGATATTGTGGTTGGTAGGCATTTCTTTTGCTGGGGATGTGATGTGAGATGATCAGAAGAGGGTCGAGTAGCACGAGCTGATCATTGGTACGTCCTGATCCGTTCCTCTTTCTCTCCTACACTGTCCTGATGTATATCCTATAGATACCCGATACTGGTACAAGGATTTCCAAGGATGGTGCCTCATGCGGTGCGTTACCTCTGATACTCTAGACCTTTACTTCACAGGCTCTCTGTTAGGAGCACAGCACGGTCCGGGTCCTCCGAGATCACGTGCAGAATTTCCGTAGATTTCTGCTTGTTCATAGCTATATCCGGGACCATCACTAGCTATTCCTATTCTCTCTCTTGGACCTGGCGATATGGCTCCACTTTTCTTGTGTAATCGCTGTACAGATGCAATTTCACTTTCCATTCGATTTGTTCCAAGCTGGCATATGACAGGGCACCATGCAGATCCTAAAGCTCGTAGCTGTTCTAAGTGAATCTGGGCGTAATGAGGAGAGAAACCTTCGAGCTTCAATGAGGGTTTGTCCTTGTTCTTCATATTCAAGCGAGCATCGTATTCACAGGTACTACTCAGCTCTGGAAGGACACTCACATGGTTATCGGCGCCCAACTTTGATCGCCACTTGATGGACACCGTTACCTTCTCCGTACAGCTTCTGAGAAGGTTAATGATGGCAATGCGCAGACATGCTTGTCTGCTGAGATGCTTTTTTATGTTCATCCATGCCGGAACCTACGGTCGGTTTTACTATTCCGCCCTCTTGCTATGTCTGACGAGACGGCTTTTACATATAAAAAGAAAATAATTTTCTTTTAACCATCATACGACTTTGCCAGGCAGAGAAGGTTAGACGATTTTGGCTCGTAAACCTAGCACAGACGGTTTAGCGAGCATTGCAGAAGGTTATGCAGAGCTTCCTTGAGTAACTGCCGCTCCTCCAACACTTACTCCCTGGTCAAACGGGGCTTCCGGGTTTATGACCGTCGTACATAGGCCTGCTGTTGCAAAGGAAGCATCACAGCATACCGCCTTTTTATTTTTCAGTCAAACTGAAAACTAAGGCTCCACTGTCTTTTATTGCCTAAGCCAAAGTCTTCATTAATGCGTTTCACAATGCGCGATCTTCTTATGCCAATCAGGGTCCGGCCAGAGTTTGGAATGGAGAATGCATAACCAGGCTGGGATGTTTCCCTATGATGTCATATCAAGATCGATAATGGAACGAACATTGGAATGGTATAGGCGTCGTACTCTATTCCTCCTGTACGGTGTGGTCATTACACATGGGATTTTGAGGGAAGTTTCCTTTGCTCCTCTTTCAAATGGTCAAGAAATGAAGTAGCCGTGAGTCATCTCCATACCCTTCTCTGATATCAAAACTAATGAATGATCTTTCTTGCGAATTAGACACAGGGGAGCCTGGTGGCGACGAGATGATGGCGGTTCTGTGGAATGACACCTTCGATCCTTGTTGGCTGATCACTGGGATGAGCCCACACAATATGAAGGCAGAACCCGCGAAAATTTCTTTAAAATGACTGCAGATGAAGTGTGGAGGTCATCCCATAGGTCACAAATAATCAATGCCCGAATCCGCCAGCTCCTCCATATGTGGGTTTCGACAATCCATGCAGAGAGTACATAGCATTCCGGTTCTCCCAGTACTCATTCGAACGACCTTCCTTCAGTGATTACTGATGTTTAGCACCAGGCACAAAGGCAGATGATACCTGCAACATCACAGAGTGCAAATTTGTCACATATACAAACTTGTGAAGACGAAGGGACAACTACGATGGCTTGAGTGTGGCTTCGGAGAATGAAAGGGAAAAATGGAGGGTATGCATTTGGATGTAAACTGTGGGAAATATGTCGATTGACGAATGCCTCTAGGAATGAAAAAGACCGCACATTGGATGCGTTCAGGAATTCTCGGTCCGAATATTCCAATGTATCATCTTTCTGCTATATTCGGCTCGCACTGGGATGTGCCTCAACAACTCTTATCTTTCATCATGCATGCCTGCTTAATCGGCAAGCGAAAAACCTCTAGATATTAAATCTCATTTCCCTCCTGCATGACAATGTGGAATCATTCATCAGGCATATCCCAGATAACGATCCTTGCTTTGCAGTCTTGTTAGCCGTAACGTCTACACCATGGCTTCTAGCTCTTGGACCTCTACATGCAGAACCTTCGTTCCTTCGCCTTTGTGTCTCAAACAAGGGTCATCTATTCCTCCATACTTCGTTCCTGTGTTCAACCAAGTCTTAATGCAAACAACGTCCATGTTAACATTTTTGGGTATGCTTAGGCCATTTCGTTTCTCTTGATTTGTTACTTAATATCAACAACTTCAACAAGCTGAAGTCTGTAGGCCCGTGGCCGGTGAAATAGACTAGTTAAGCGACATGAGTGACATGTTTTAGCTTTCCCCATACTGAGAGCTTCCATCCAACCTTTGTCTTCTCATTATCATCGCTTTGGGGCCTTCAACGAGAAGCCCACCTGTCCGTCAGCCTCAGATCAATTGTCCGTTACACTCATAGCTCAGTAGTGTTTTTTAGGGATCCGCACCATATCCGTATACGGATATGACCGTCAAATATACGGGTTGACCTGTACCGTCACCGTATGGGCTGAAACCGTCGACGGTATGGGTCGTAACCGTACCCGTCGACTGTATTTTTGGCAGTGCCGCTTGACCCTCAGGGTCTTTCAGACCAAAATCAATCTAAACAGATAAATAAGGTTAGTACCAGTGGGGTGAGGGCCGACGCATCCATGCGGCAGGTCCGAGTCCTATGTTTTTTTTTGTAATCTGTTGTTCATGTCAGAAATAAGCATCTCATATAATAGCCTGCCTATGCATGAATATATCATGATCTTTCCCCATCTCGCATCATGTTGACGTTGTCGAGCAGTCCTTCTAGCAATGCCTATCTTCCCAGTATTGTTAAACCGTTCCTATGGGTCCACACGCTGAAGCATTGCAAGCCCATAGCAATACATAATATCCACTAACGGAAACTCCATCACATCATCAGCAATAGAAATATAGGATCAGGTGGTGTTTAGGTGAATGCAGTGAATACAACTATAAAGGATGTGAAGATGAGAGTGAGAGCACTGCGCTGATGTCTCTCATGAATCAGCATCTGCCGAGATTCGGCACTGAATCCGAGATGGCACAAGAATCTCCTCCCATGACAGTGGCGGAGTCAGTGACCAACTCGACGTATGCGCAGAGGCCTATGAAAAAGGTCCCTACCCTTGGAATCCGCTTTTACGACGAGCTGTGATGTAGGTGCACCGGTGAGTGGTAGGAGATCCGCAGAACTCGTAATTCGATCCCCTGAAGGTCAATGGTGTGCATAATGAATTATCAAGGAACTGGTACATCGTGGACCACAGCAACCTTCCTGTTCCAACAAAACAAAAACAGAAAGCACCATTGACACGCTCATCAAAGACAGGATGAAGGAAGAACCTCAGCATCTTGCGTATATGGGTAGATGAACATGAAAGACAGCTTTATTGATCGGTATTATAGGATATAATGACATTGGAATAAGCAAAGCTTATATCGACGATGATGCAGTGGATGAAATGATTTTCACTACCACCGACACACTAGTGGCATTGGATCCGCCACTAATCCTGAAAGAGTCTCCGTGAGCACCCACATGTTGATATGAGGTGAACAAATAACCATACCTTTTTCAAGGGGAGTGAGAGACAAGATCATTTAAGCCAGTGACACTGTCCAGTCTGAGCAGCAAGGGATTCGACAGAGTGATTAAGGCATTGAGGGAGAGAGAGAGAGAGTTCTGGCAGGGTCAATTACAGGATTGGATGTTGACGACAGCACAAGAGTATGGTGCGGCAGAGTTCCCAAGCCCACACCCCCAGCCTAAGGAAGTGATAGCCATATGGAGGAGACAAGGTCAGTGCAGGTGCCGACCCCAAAAGGACTCCGAGGATACTGGCAGGGACAAACACAGCACACACTGAGGACAATGAAGTCAAGTATTTAGAGGTAAAATCAAGGGAGGCAAGTAAAAGTGAGTGCTGTATTCGAAGCGTTGTGAACACCAACAGATATGCGAAAGGCCTGAAACCACGCATGTTCAGGATAGGGAATATCGTTGAGACACAATGTTCAGTGGTGTTCGTGAAATGCAGAGGCGGAGGCGTAAGGATGAAAATGGTATTGAGGGCGCTGGCACCTGTAAACTGCGACTACACAATGGTAAGCAACGATCAAACAATTGGCGAGAAAGGAATAACAAACGTGATGTATTTTAGAATGTGGCGAAGAATAAGAGCACCATAGGCAAAAAAAAAGGCATACAACGCACCCTGAGGATGATCGATGAAGCTTGAAGCACCGCATAGGATTCAAGTATGAAGAAAATGAAAGTGGGGACAAAAGGCAAGCACAAGAGAGGAGAGCTCCAGGAGTCGGGAGGAATGCTGAAGACAGGTAGGGAGACTGACGAAGAGGAAGAAAGAGAATACAAAAAATGGAGAAAATTAATTAGGTACAAAGGAGGCAAGCAGGAGAGGCGCACAGAAAAGTAAGGAGGAGAGAAAAGTGGACTGAGAAGTGAAGCGGAAAACAACAGACAAGGACACTGGATGAAAGCGGGGTCGAATAGAAAATTTCCCATGGAAAGGTCAGGTAGGGAAATCGGCAAAGTCCGTTAAGATTTGATACCTCAAATAGATTTTCCCATGGCCAATTCCACCTGCATAATGACCGAGAATCCTATATACATAGGACTCGGAATCGGTCAGAATATAACAGATTGTAGGTGAAAATACCTATATTGAGGGACCCAGTACTGAATCCGTAATTTTGCCAGCCTCCAGAATCCTTATATGGTACAGTTACAGGTACCCATGTATAAACCTGTCCCATAATTTCAGTAATTACTGGGTACAGTGTGGATCCCTAGTGTTTTTCATGCAGTCTCACCATCATGGGTTATTATAGTGCTCAGCGAACAATGTTACCTCTTAATCTCCATCATTATGACCAGCCCATAGTTGACAATTATGATGTGAGCTGATGGCCAGGAATGTTTACAGGATACTGTTTCACGATGAAGTAAATACCAAAGGCATCTGCCGGACGACAAAATCATAAAACTGAACAGTCCAAGAATATACAACCAACCCTACTAAAACTGAAAATGGAAATCTCATAGCCGAGTTCTTCCTCGTCTTTGTTCCCTATCATCCTTTTCCAGGAGCTAGCATGTGTACGGTCTTTTCCAGACATCTGTTTCGATCGTTAACTGCTGAGCACAATAAGGCTAGCTCAATCTCTGAGCCTAGCAAGCTAATTATCCTTCTGCCTCTGATCCTCGGCACAACAACTGCCCAGATTTTAATATCCTTGGTCCTCAATTCATAAATTTTAATAAAGTCTGAGAACTTTCCTCATTTCTCCATCCCAAAGGCTGCTCCGAGTGATTCCTAGTCTAACTCACATACATTGCTCTCAAAGACATTGTATCCAATGCATGAGGTTGAAACACGATACATAGTTGAAGGCCATCTACAGCAAAATGAAACCACCAACTTAAAGTTAGCTTTTCGTGATGCTACAGCGTTGAACCGTCATTGAAGCGCTGGCAAAAATAAATCATGGGATATGTCTGCTTGTGAGGTGCCTTGAGAACTAAATAATCTCTGCTAAGGTTCGAAATCAGGGATCACACTGACAACAAAACAAGCAACAAGGATGTGATGCTATCTAGTATCAGCAAAGGTTCATGACCTATAAAGCAGTGCCTTACCAATCAGGGGCGAAGCGAAACTTCTTGGCCATCGAAATATACATTAAAATGCCTGCCATCCTGTTCCAAATGCTCGCCGATTCCCATGTGAACAGTCTAACTACCCTTCCCACTCAGGCACTGCCATACCCACTCTGTATGCATACACATAGACTCACCTTCCATGCATGTTGAAAGAGTAACATACCAACTTGGAGAAGGTGAACAACTGTCCAAGTCAACAAGATGTTCCTACTTGTGATCCCCCAGGCCTTTGCACTCCTTTCACATTGCCGGCCATCATATGGATCAGTAGAATTATTGTCGGCACTATCCAACTGAATCAACAACATAAACAGCGATTGAGACTATTTTGGTACAGTATGATGTCTGAACTGAAGGTCTCACCTTCATCTCCCATTGTTCTCCACCCTTCTCAAGTCCAAAAGGGGGACAATAGGCTGTACAACCGCAGATTCATAAGCAGCTGTAGCTGATGGTGATCATGCTCTCCGTATGAAACATGCAGTAACAAGTTTCCGTCAGCTGGGACTCTGAAACCATCAGTGAAAAGGAAGGTGAAAGCTGTCAGGCTCTCTGCAAGAGCACAATATATGTGGGAATGTTGAATGTGCATCGCAGACTACACTATAGTCACTCCCGCTGTTAGTACAGTTCATGATCAGGACAGTTCCAACTTCCAAGGGCGTTACTGAGGCAAAGGACATGCGGGAAGGGCGTTGGGATGGTATGGCGATGTGAGCTTCTATTTAAATGATATTGAGGGATACTTAGATCTTCACGGTCTTTCCCTTGAAGTGGCCAAGGCACGTTGAATGTTGTCAGGTGACACTGCCACACTCTCATCGTATGCTTCTTATAGGACCAACACCACCTACTGTAGAACAAACATCTTGTTGACTCTCTAAATGGTATGTGTCTATTCATCGTCTCTTACATTTGTTGCAGCATTAAAATTTTTAGGACTCACATTACTGAGTCCCAAGAACATTCATGAGCTGTCACCACTGGTGATACCTCTTCTCCAGTACGTTTTTGTTTTTTGGATGCTATGGCTCTCATCTGATCTGCCACATAGGATCAACGGCAGGATCTGCACCAGCAGAAGAAATTAACTAAACTTGAGGAGAAAGAGAAACAGCTTGCAGGAATTTATGGGTTGGATTCGTCAGAAGGTATCAATGAGTCTGTGATGGTTTTCCAAGAAGCAAAAAGGCATTCACATCTAGGATGGAAATGTCTTCGCATCGGTCGCATTGCTGTACCAGTTTTATTTTGTAAAGATGACGCCAAAGATATGCACAAGCTTTACCACCTTTGCTGAGACAATGTGGGCATCTGTCGGTGGCCTCTCATAAGTCAAACCGCTGCATTTTTCCCAGGAGTACATGATTATAATATCCTAGTTACATACCTTTGTGCTCATCCCAACTTCATAGACTCCGCACCGCGTTGACGCATCTCAATTTTGGGCTGTCCTCATCGGCATTGATGCATACTATGAGGGGACAATTTTACGTGGTTGTGTATCCGATGCATTGTTGATGAGGAAATTCCTTGTCAATGACCTTGGTGTGCCAAAAGAGCATATCCAGTGTCTCCTCGGCTCTCACAGTCCTGTCCCTGAAGATGCCTTGACACCTTCCCATGCCAACATCGTAAATGTGCTCTTCAGTCTCATCCACAATCGCAAAATTCAGTTTGGCGACAATATAATCATTTACTATGCTGGGCATGGCTCGAGCTACCGATGTTCAAAGCATTCCGCTAGTACAGTGGAATTAGAATGCAGCAGAGATGTCTGTCCTGTTGAAGCACTGTGCCCCATCAATCACGACACCAAGGATGCCGATGGACGTTGGGTACCCGACATCAGTGATCATGAGCTTAACACTCTTTTGCTCAGATATCTTCTGCCAAGGGATATAGGATCACGTTTATCGCAGATTGCTGTCATGCAGGTGGCATGTCCAGGACATCAGGAACTGGAACAGGACAACGCTCCATATGCTCAGCTGCTCATTCCACTGTCAACGACATGTTCCGCGCTGCAGATGAAAGGCTGAAGGACTCCCCCGGCTATTTATCTGTTTGATCAAGGAATTGGAAGCCATATATGGGTTCTCACATAGTTCTGGCAGCGTGTAATGATTACCAGTATGCAACAGAGACTATGGGAAAGAAAGGATTCTACCACGGGGTTCATACCAAGGCCCTTGTTGACGTTGATGAGCCTAAACTTCCGTGGCAACAGAAAAAACCAAAACTCTAGAGGAGTTCATGGCAAATGGCACATAGCAGCAATAAAGGCTTTGTTGTTGTGCGAGTGTTTCGGTGCACCTCTGTGCGATGAATTCCTCAAGAACGCAAGTATACACTGCGACTTTTCAGTCAGCAAAGTAGTACCCTTAATGATCAAGTACTAGAAAACGTTGGCTGTAAGCCGGGAAGGGTCTCGATAGTCGAGAAGGAACAGAATCCGGTATAACTGGGAATACCAGCAAACCATGAATGAAGTGACAGCAATTTAACTAGTGAAAGCCATGGGCGATGTTGATGGAATTAGAGAAAATGCTGTCAAAGAGAAATACTGTTGGCAAGATAACAAATACCGTGACGGCAAGAGACGAAGACTGTAGTCGAGAAACAAGAAACTGGCAGTAAAACAAAGATAAAATGAACTGGCAATGATATGAGGGGGAACTAGTGATGGCAAAACGATGGCTGGGACTGGGCTGGACTGAAACTGAAACTATACTGAGGTTAACGACGGCAAAACGAAACTGATACTAATCCTGAGTCTACATGGAGACTATCCTATACTGAAACTGATGGCAAGATACCAAATACCATGACTGATGATCCTATACTGAAGCTGTTGACCGAAATTCCATGACAGATGCTACTGGTGACAATAATGATCCTAATCTGAGTCCACACGGGGACATAACGATCCTGAACTGAACTGGGTAAAAAGATGGTGATGTAGAAGGTGAAAACTGATGAAAATGATCCTGGCTGGTGAAAGTGAAACGATGCTGGCGGATTAAAAGATAAAAGCGAGTTGTGGACACCAAATTCCGTGTATTGGCACAATATGAGCATACACCAATACTGTTAGAAGAAAAGCCATGACAGAGAGTATAACTTGGAGTGACTATGTTGTTATTGTCTATCTCCTAGTGAGTACAAGCGATAACGGTAGTCAATAACGTGGATGATGGCTAGTGTCCAGTAACTTCTGTCTAGCAACTACTATTTTCCGTGATGTATACTAGCTTTTATACTATGAGTCCGGAATAAATTTAGAATACTTGAAGCGAGTCCTTAGTAAGTCTGTAGTACATAGATTAGTAAGAAATGATACAAAACACATGCTCCCAGAGTTCTAAAGTAACAGCACCCACACGGTTTTACTGTGTACTGTGGTTCGAAAGTAACAGCACCCATATGGCTTTTACCGCATATAGATGAAGTGATTAGCAAGAATGCCACCGAATCTCCGGAATTTTGAGCTGCTGTGTTGCTGCGGCAAAGTACATTGAAGCAAGTGTACTGAAGTAGATGCTTGTGGCAATCTCTTGGCAGTATAACAGCCTTAGTAAAGACTGAGGAAAGGTCATGGACATTAGAGCTAATGCCATGGAATTGCTATTTGAGCTGCAGAATTGTGGCTGTGCTGCGGAATTGCGGCTGTGCTAGGCAATCAGATGGGATTCTAAATCCATAGAGATCGACAATCAGGTGCCTGGCAGAATTAATGAAAGAAGACTGGTGGAATTAATGAATGGGGCACGTAATTGATGTGGGGTACAAGTGGGGAAGGATAATTGGCAGGCATTAAGCAATATTGCCGGGATTGAAATAGTATGTTGGTGTGGTGGCTGGGGAATTAGCTATCTGGTAAAATCCACAAATTCTGAGCATACAGAGCCTGGAGGCTCATCATTGGTTATTATGGTGTCATGAAACCCCATGGGAAATTCTATTCGTGGAATCAGATGTGGCGGCGTTTGCCATCCCATCCTGTTTCTTCCTCTGTGGGTCTCTCGTTGTGGTAGTATGAGTTGCATGCACTTGTAGACTGGACATCTCGGGCCTGGCTGACTCATACTTCCTTTTTCAGTTTCGATACGTGTCTTTCCTTCCTTCCACCATCATGTACTCCGTTTTGCTGCCATTCTCCTTTACAGATTCATATTTTCTTCAATGCATCACTGTGTAGCTCTGGGATCAACGAGCACGCATTCCTCATACTTCTGCCTTTGGGCATCAATGCTCAAGACCAAGACACCAACATTGAGGTAGCTCGCCTCACCAACAAAAGAGCTGTTTCAAACACTGGCGGAAAGATTGGTACTGGTTGTATGAATGTTGTATAGATATATTGGTTCGTTTTGTCTTCATTTTCCGTTTCTGATTTCCTTTCTTTGAGTTTCATCATCAATCCCCTCCCTACCCCATCCGACAGTGAAGACCAACGCCAATGGTGGATGACATCACCTCGGAGCATGCTGGGAATTGAGAAACGATGGCATGGGCCACCATTCGTATGCTGAGTGGGGCAGCACCTCTTCCTATGCTGTAGTTGCGCATATCCCGGGTGGTTTAGTCTTGCTTGCAGTCGAGGTAACTGAGCTAGGTATTCGCTTTCTTCTGACACATTTTGTTATAGAATATATCTACATACACAAATCTATCAATTACGGGCTCTGGTGATGTGAGAGAATGTGTGTGGCTACCCCCTCTTCCACATTTGTATCCGATTGACATGGAAATTTGATTTTTACCTTTCTTGCCTTACACCACGAGCACTGAGCCATCGAGCGAGCCCCCGAGCCTTCAGAATTGAGCCCAGTAAGTGGTCTCCTTGTTCCTCATACTGATTTACTATTTAGATACTTCTTGTATCAATAAACATGCCAATTCTCATCCACACCTGGCCGATTCACAAGCAACTCACGACCTCGTGTAACCGTCTACGTCCGCTTCAATGTATACTGTGACATCATGGGAATAATTCTATTCGTGGACGGCTATTCCCATTTTTTTTTCATGCTCCGCAGTTTGCTCTTGTGCGACATTCGCATTTCCCCTAGCCTGCTTCCTGTTCTTGTTTTGTTTTCCATCATTTATATTCCATATCCTCTCTAATTGATGTGTCTGTCTTGATCAATCTTATGTCTGGCCTTGTCCTTCTTGCTTGTCTCATTTCACTCCCTGGTCTCTTCATTGTGCACTTTTCTTAATTCAGGATTCACGTTTCTCGTTCATACATATATCTGTGTATCATGTCGACATCATGATCTCTTCCTCCTCCTCCATTTCCATCCTATTAAACCTTTTTGCCATGGTCTGTATGTCAGTCTTCCTCATCTTCAAAACCTATCTTCCTCTTCATTTTCACCACCAACTGTGACTGGTGTATTAGCCATGTTCCTTCTTTCCGCATTGCACCTTCTGTGACTTTTTCAGCGATGTTTGACATACACGTTGAAGTGCTCACTGATGAATGGTCTGAGTTTGTGAGCGCTATGGCTTTCAATATCAATTTGGTCTTTGCGACACTGTCGTTGGTCTTCATGAACACCATAGAGCACTGGGCTTCCATGATATTGCCTATTCTGAGCATTTGGGGCTTCACTGTCACGTATCTGCATTCACAAGGTATGGTTGGCTCCGTTCTGAGCACATATGTGTTGATCTTGCTTACCTTTTCTTGCCTGCTTCGTCTATCAGACCCCTGAAGTATCCCACCTCAGTTGTCCTCAGTGTGCACCCATTTTTGTTGCGCTATCTTGGCTAGGATTCCCATCAGGTTGACATCAGGTGAAAAGGGTATGTCCTCCTCATTCGAGTTGTTCCGAGGTCTGAAGTATCAGGTTCGACAGCTCCACCACATCCAGATCCTTTACCTTCATTGGCTTCCATTCTTCCATCTCACCCTCCTTGAACTCTCTCTCCCATCATTTGCAGACTCTTTATAGCAGATATGGCCCTTGTCATACCCCTTGCTCCCAAGACCTATGAGTTGTACCAGTTTGGCTTAGGAACCTTGCTTTCTCTTTTTGCATCCTGACTATGACTTTTGTGAGTACACTACATTCATTTGGACCGTATTGTCCGCTCACCTTGTTTCCTTTGTGACAGGCGGTAGATCCATCATGTATATTGCACTGGTCATTGTGAATACCACTTCTTCTATCATGCCCTCCTGCAGTCTTTCAGATGATCCTTCACACACCCTGCATTCTCATCTCTCTTGATGCTTGCCGATTTGATAATGCTGTGTTCCTAGTATGTCTCTTCAGTACAATTCTATCCTTGCCATAATTGATTCTTACCTTCATAACCCTACGACAGGTGCAGTTTGTCTTTTGCCATCCTCTCGTTTATGAGTGCTTCGATCATGTCTCCTGTGCATGCCTACATTAGTCATTTTCTCCAATCTGTTTCGATTGTTACTTACTTGCTTCGTCTCTGTCATAGAATCAATCCATCCTTTAGCAACAAACTGGTTGTGGATTTGGTACCCATTTGCCACTATATTTCTTTTCCTTCTATTACTTATCGCCCCAGTTTTCTACCGACATCTACCTCTGTCACGATGTTCATGTCTGATGGCACCGATGGTTGTCTTCCGGCTTGACTCTCGTCAGGTTTTCATTTCTTTTGTCCATCGTATCTCCTGTCATACCTCATGTTCATCTCCTACAGTGCTATCTTATCCTTGGTTTTACCTGCTTCCCTTGACTCTATGCATATGTTGTGACATCCTTTTTTGTGTTTTTGTTGTCTCTATTACCATGCTGGGTTGCCCATGCGCTCGTCTGTGTGCTTCAATTCGTTCGTTTCATGTATATCATTATTAATTTGCTGTGTTACATACGTTCTTTTCATT